TCAACCAGAACAAGAAATAAATAAGAATGAAATAAGGAAATAACTTATACTGAATTAGAACTGCAGTACTATACTGACCTCTAGTGGTCAATAAAAGTGCTAGACCAAGTACTACTCACAAACTAGCAGTAATAAATAAAAATCAAAAAGGATTTCAAAAAATAAAAAAAAATTTAGTGCTTTAGCCTGATCACTACACTAACACGGTTAAAATACTGTGTAAACTTACAGTATCTGGCAGAACTGTCCTACTATACAGGTGTTCCTATTAAAGTGAGTGTACAGTTAAAATGTTTAACAAATTTTAAAGTAGTATTTGTCTGTAACAAAATCACATGCAACAAATAAGACACATTCTAAATCAACAGAGTGTTCATTTATTTGAAATGGGCCATGGTGCTAGCCAGTTCACTCAACTGAAAATGTCCAATCTCTAAAGTAAAACTGTGTCCATCCTACTGGCAGGTTCAGGTACTAAAAACAAAAACAAAAACACAAGAAGCCAATATGGCTGCATATGTTCCTTGAACAAAATTACAGAAGCCAATATGGCCTCAGAACTGGCCAGCAGAGTTTATTTCTTCACCTCGTTGGCCTTCATTAGAGCTTTGATGGCTCTCGCTCTCATCTCTAACTCCAGAAGTGCCAGCTGCTGTGCTGACGGTGCTGCAGCAGGAACAGGAAGTGATGCAGGAGCTACTTCCATAGCAATCGGCTGCAAATGTAGCTTAAGCTCTGCCTTGTCACTACTGGGATTGGTCAAAGCAAGGATCTCATTGACGCTCCTGTCAATGTCGCGCTGAAGCTCCAGCTTCGGCTCGTCTGATTGGAGGTCCGGTTCAGGAGGCGGGCCGGAGGACGAAGGGGGCGTCACCGTGGGAGCAGGGACTTCCTCTTCTTGGGGTTTGGGGTCCTTGTGGCCCTCAATATCACTGTCATTCATGTCAGCGTTAATGCTCAGGACGTCGCTCTCCTCTCCGGATAAACCTGTGCATGAACACGGCGCAAAATTAGCTCCTCTGGTGCTCAAACAAACATTACGCCACACTTTCTCTGAATCTGCACTCTGATTTGTAAAATTTTGGTTTTATCATCAATACCTTGCTTGTCTTCTCCTTCAGCAGTCTCTTTCATAGATGATGTGGAGTCCACATTGTTGTCCTGCCTAAATGTCACATGATGTAAAAAAATCTTCAGAGACTTACGTCTAAAACTGTTACTGTATGTTACTACTTCACAATTACAGCACTAAATTTAACGAAAGTAGCCTACAACATTGTAATGATGAAAATTCCTTCAGTATGACCCATCATACAGCTACTGCTTGTCTATGGCAGGGGTTTTCAGCCTGATCACGTAAGAGACTATAAGATAAAGTATTAAGAAAAAAAAACAGAATGCACGTGCACAGCTCAAACCCTCAAATGAAAATGATATAACCTTCAGCAAAAACCGGTATTGATCCAATTCATGATTCGTCCACTAGAGGGGACAGTGATGTCACTATGTTAAGGCATGGTTTATTTTGAATTAAACACAACTGACAAACATTGTCTCGGGTCAGAGACACATAGGCAGGATGGATAATAGCCACATACCTGAGTGATTACATTTCAGTGTGGCATGTTTCCCGTACACTCGCTGATGGAAACGCAAGTGAAAGTGTCAGAGGGAAACGCAGCGTGGTTAAAATAGTTGTGCTTTTCAGTGTGGTACTTTTGATTACTGGAGTTTGTGGGGGGGAGGGACAAATTCAATCTCAACACAAAGAGGGGGGTCTATAGAGACCACATGCTTTAATGCTTGATTTTATGTATCTGCGTCGCAAGTCAATCAATTCAAGTGTCCAGAGATCTGTGGCCAGACACCACATATAAACATGATTACATGCGAGATATGTGAAGATTAAAGTTTGTGTACAATGAAATGTAGACGAATTCTTGAACATTTGACTTACTGACTGTCCACTGAAGTCCTTTTGGTCTCTTTCTCTTCAGCTTCTGAGTTAGCAGTCACCTCTTTACCTTCAAAAGCGAATGAGACGGCGAATGAGACGAATAATCAAACTGAAGACACATACACTTTATATACAGAATCCAAATTATGCATTTGTTTAAGTCATCAGCTGTGAATAAAGCCACAACATTCCCTTTAACACAACATTCCGGATGCTACACCGGCAAATATCAGTTTCTTTTAGCCTCAGAGATCTGCAGCAAAACTACTCTTTTAAAAGAATTCGTAATGATTCTTAGTGATTCTGGTGGTAATCTGTTGGTTGGGGCTATATTTTCATTATTCTTGTGAAAGGTTAGCAGTTGTCTGCTGTGCTGATGCCACTGTTATTGCTAGAACAGTTACAATTGTGTTTAACAGGAGGAAAAAAAAAAAAAAAAAAAATTCAACAACCCTAAACATAAGGGGTAACAGTCAGGTTTCGATGTTAGCTAATGAAAACAAAAGAGCAGGTTTCTGTCTTCACTCGCCATTTTCCAGTGACATTCAATTTCATATTAATGAGAAATCCAACACAGAAGCAGTGGAGACTTTGGTGCAAAGTCAAAGTACTGGACTCAAAGTTACAGGATGCAATGCGGCTATACGACGCTGAATTACAACAGTCTGGCTAGTTATCATCTACGACATGAGTGTGATGGAGGTGACGGCGGTATTAAGTGTAAAGTCGAAGCTTTACAAGCTGATCTGATTGCACAGATGAGGAGCTGAGAGAACTGGACAGACTAAGCACTAAAGCGCCACTGCATCACTCTGTTTAGGTAGAAAGGAATGTGCCACTATGAGCAGGCAGGTGAATGGCATCGTGGGTAATGTAGGAAAGTGTTAACTTTAGTGAAAACAGACCAACATGTCAGTGAAAGAGTTTTACTTTTAAAAAAAAAAAAAAAACTAAGAATTTGGTCACAAAACACATTTTTTTAGTGATAAAGATTAATATGCGAGTCTTTCAGGGCGGATTTTTCCTATAAGTGCAACTGGAAAACTGCATGCGATACAGAATTTTCTTTTCTTAGCGAAGTAAATGTAATTAACCCTCCAGTATCTGGAGCAGATTGTTCTCAGACAGCTGCTGCAGTTGATCCCAGCAGAGTGTCTTGATCTCCGTAAACGTGCAGTCCTACAGAAATATCACAGAGGCAAAGGAAAAGCCATTAAGAGAAAACGCTTAGTAGAAGGTCATCTTAGTAGAAGATATCTTACAACCAAACAGAAGGACACATATGAAAGGCTGTGGAATGAACGTTAAGATGTAAAAACCTTCAGCTCATCTGGCAGCATCTTTTTCAGCTTGTTTTGGCCGAGGACGTGGAAGCACTGCTCCAGCATCTCCTGTCTCTCGCTCACATAAGCACTGATGGGTCTGAAAGGCACAGTGAGATCCAGGCCACCTTCCTCGATGTCGCTCGGCTCTTCCTTTACCTCCTGCACATGATTCACCTCTTCCTTCGGATCCTTAAATATTAAAATAATAATAAATATGCCAGTTAATTACAAAACGTAATGTAACCTTTTTAACAGTGTCGGATTTGGCTTGAGTTTATCTATCACACAACATGTACAGCACTGTGCAAGTCTTAGGCACCCTATTTTTTTTAGTACAAACTTTCTTATAGATTTGTATTTTATGACTTCTACATTGTTGATTCAGTACAAAAACATTTTAGATTCCAAACATTAGTTTTCCAGCACAAAATTAAATGTTACGGAAAAATGTTTGTATGTCAGTAAAGAAAGCAGCAGATGACATAAGAGACACTTTTCAGACAAAAAAACATAATGAAGGCTGCTGGGTTTTGCTGCAAAAATAAGAAGCGAGTCGACAGTCAAAGTCTCCAGAAGAACTGCGGCTGCTTCTGCAACATGCTCAGTAAATATAGATATATATACACACACATACACACATACACACATATCATATATGAAACCACTGCAACCAGTGAATGGTTGCTTATATTAGCATTAGCTAGCAAACCAGAATTTGGACCGTATTTGTTTATATTTCGTTTTTTAAATAAAAACAAACCTCCACACTGGATTCTGTGCTTCTCCTTTTTCTCTCTCCGTCAGCCGACTGTCGACGAGAGTGCTTTCTTTTCTTTTCTTTCGCCGACTTCATTCTTTCCACCCTTTTTTTTTTTTTTAGCTATGTTTGTAATACAGACACAACCATTCTCACAGCGCTTACCGGTTTTGGCGCATGCTGATGACCTCACAATGAGGGCGCCGCTGTTCCGAATAGTCAACACGTCCGCCATATTGGAAAGGCCAAGGTTCAATTGCAAAACAATGGCAGTTGATGGAGACACGGACCTTTGCAATGTTTGTTACAGACCTTATAAATGTCTCCATATTGCAGTTAAAATGCATGCTCTGTTAATGTTTTGGTTGAGCCTAACACTTGGAATATTCCAGCAATTAGACTATGAATGACTGGACAGAAATGATCATAAATTAAGATAAAACCTGTCTGTCTTGAACAAGCACAAAACCAAATATTAAGAATATTAGCTGAGAACCAAGGTCAAGTTAAACATCAACTTGTCTTCTGCAGGCCACCTGCTCTCTGGTCAACTCAGCTACTTCTAAAGAATCTCTCAGGCATGTAGTGGGCTACGTAGTTTTTTTCTCCCCGTAAGTCGCCATGGCAACACTAAGACGTTTACATGCATAAAAATGCAGTCACTTCAAATAATGGCGATTTCTGACTGGTGTAGGGATTAAATAAGAAAATGTATGATCGGTCAAAAGGTTTTGTTTGAGCAAGCTGTAAACTTGCTGTTTATAGTTTAGAAATAATAAGTAACTTCTGCTTTTAACATTGATCTGTGAATAAGTTGTTGTTACCCTTTTGGCTGCTCCCGTTAGGAGTCACCACAGCGGATCATTGGGACGCGTATTTGATTTGGCATGGTTTTTATGCCGGATGCCCTTCCTGACACAATCCTCCCAAATTTGCATGCAAGCCCAGTGGCTGGGGTTGGTTCCCTGGCCAGGAATCGAACCGAGACCTCAGCGGGGAGAGTGCTGTGGCCTAAACACTAGTCCTCCAGGGACTGAACAGTGAATAAGTAAAAAATACAAAAAAATGGAAGCCTGATTTATAATCCAAACAATCGAACAAAAACAACAGTAAAATCCATCATATGTCTGAACTGTGAAGCTAGGAGTAGATTTGCAGTTGTAATAAGTACGTCTGTACCCCAAATAATTCCTAACTAATTAAGATTAACATGTTAAACATGACGATTCATGGAGCATGCACCATGGAAATGGAGCACTCGGATCAACTCAACCCTGTTCACCAGACATTCAGTAATTCCATGCTTAAAGTTCCCAACAGATATTTATCTGCAATCGGGACAGATGGCATCCACGGTCTGATGGCAGGCCGAGTTTCCTCCAGTGGACAGTGGCAGGTCTAGAGAGACCGTCAAGGCATCACACACTAGAAACAGAATTAAAAACTAAAGAAATTTTCATGATACTGGTTGTGTAATAAATTGCCTAATTGCCTATTGGTGTATGGCCTACAAATAAAACAACTCCATAATGCTTAATAAAATGAACATTTCCCCAATCACCAGCATTGGTGTTGGTCTTGAATTATGTGCCTAATTTTGATTATAATAATAACAAATATAAATAATGATGAACAGAATGCCAATCAGTTATCATTTTATGGTATATCACAGCTGCCTGGGATTGGTAAACAAAGCTACTTACTGACAATGTAGCATTATTTAAAGACTTCTGTTACTTTCTTACCAAGTGTTATGAGTTCTTAAATGGTTGATACGGTGAAGTTTTCTTGACTTCATCATTTATGGAAGAAATCTAGAGCGCCATGGTCTGGAGTGTGTTATTCCACTTATACCACAGCGATCTGTCAACGGTTACAATGTTAAATTTATTAATGATTGATGCACCGCACATTTTAACCCTTTATGGTTCGATGTAATGTTGTGGAACGTCCAAGAGACAAGTTAGTTCCTGTTCTCACTTACATTATAGCTGTGATAAACAGGCTTTCTTCACCAGCACCTCTCTCTCTCTCTCTCTCTCTCTCTCTCTCTAAAAGGCAGCCTGTCATTTTTACCGTGAAACTGAAACACATAACCAAGACAAAGTGCTTACAACCAAGACAGTGCTTATAAACGTCTCCTAAAGGAATGTCACCACATCAATGATTATACGTTTCATGTTAGTACTTCATAAACTACTGTCCGAGCTGCACTGCTATATGAAAATAATGCACACCTTCTAACCAATCAGATTCGAGCATTCAACCGTTCTGTGATAAAAATTGTTTTGAAGATTTTCAGCAACATTAAGCGTAAATGTAAACAAATAAAAAGTATAATTAGCATCTCATTCATTAATTAATAAAACATTGTTAGTGTTGGAAAATTGGCATCTGGTTGTACCGAATTACTTCATAGGATCTAGTTTATGTAAATTGCTCATGAGAATTCATGATATAAAAAAAAAAGTTGGTCCCCAAAAGTACATTAGACGGTAGATTCCTGTTGAAGAATGAATAAAAACATGAGTGATTAAAAGATGACCGTTTGTAAAACAAAATGAACCCATCAGAATCCAAATGATGCAATGATGGCAAAAAGACAAATTCCTCCATTTCGTCTAAAGATTATGATAATTAGCTCATTACTTTTGGTCCCTTAAAGTCCACATAAAGAGCTGCAATTCAGAAACATACACTCTCAGAAAATGGATACTATAGGTAACTGTGCTTTTCCTTGTCACTGTATCTTTTTTGTCGTATCTTTAACCTGGAGATAAAAAATGAATAAAACATACCTTTCAATACAAACTTTAAGGTACATAATTGTACCATAATTACCTTTCAGAGTAAAGCTTTAATCATACACTACATGCGCCTTGCTAAAAAGGTGTACATTAGACGGTATTATGCAAGGACATTGCACTTTAACATCATACTTATTGTTTTATTTTAAATGCTGGGTGAAGGTAAGGAGTGAAAGCAACATTAAATGCTTACTGAATGCAGCTTACAGTGAAGCGAGATGGGTGTACACTTAACAAGAAACCTTTCAATTTCCTTTACATAAAAAATCCCTGTTTACGCAGTCTAGAGCTGGAATAGTTGCATTCATGGCAGACAAGATCTTGTATTATTCTTAGCGCAAACGTCGGTGGTTTCCAATGGTAAAGAATAAAAGGAAGAAATAACACCAAAATGTAGATGAAGAGACAAGACAACATTTCATAGATAAGACAAGATGCACCGTTGATAGTTGATACATATATATAGAAATATATGATATATAGAAATGTAAACATCTGAAACTCTTTTTTTTTTTACTGCATTTCCCAGTATGCTAACTGATTAAATTTTTCAGGGTTATTATCTTAACCAAACAAATGTATATATAAATGCTCCACTGGCTTAGAACATAAAAACCTGGTCTTCTCTTGGTCATGCAGCATGATCTAGTCTCATGTTGTGGGTAAAAAACCCCAAAAAACAAATCAAGGTACCTGATAAATGATGGTTCTAATGATGGTGCTTTTTTATTTTCTTCTTCTTCTTCTTCTTCTTCTTCTGCTTCTCTGTTCATTTGGTTCGACAGATGAATGCTGGGAATTTTTGATTGCTGAATGATGGCCACTGTTCTCAGTTTCACTGGTGTCCCCAAGATTTAACTTCAAATGTTCAAAAAGCCCCCAAATTTGCCTTTAGTCCATGAATATAGCTTTGTATTTTGTATTTCAGACTGTATAATCACATAACGCAGGCACCTTATCACCTCAAATTTCACACCAGCGCCAATATTAATCACCCCTGGTTTGCTTCTAAATAATAATAAGGCTCAGATTCTTTCGTAAATCTAAATTGTGTCTAAATTGTCCTTCTTTAAATTCTGGTCAAACAAAGCAGACAAAACTGATCTGTAACGCATCAGGCAGTCAGACAGCCTCAGACTATTCTAAAGAAATGGACTTCGCTGACAAACTGACATTCACTCATCTCTAATACTTTATGTATGTCTTTAGATGCTCTAAAGACAGTGGTGATTTCATTGTCCTGGTGGAATGACTGCAACAAAGGAATAATTTGCAGGATAGCTTCAGAAGGTCCATAATACGTTAAAATTACTGATAAGCCCCGTTTCGGTTTGCTATAAAAAGTACATAATAAGACTTCAGGGACACAGTTTTATGGACACACAAGAAACAATTAACCTGATGATGAAAACCTGATGAAAAATGTGCAGGAGAAACAACACGAAAGGCAAAGATGTCCTTATGCAGTGAGTGAGATGGGCGTAAACGTAAAAAGAAATCTCTTACGTACCTTTACATGGGAATCCATTTCTTCACTCCATCTAGAACTGGTTTAGTTGCTTTCCTATCCATATCCTTGTTTTATTTTTAGAACAATTGTGGGTGGTTTCTAGTTGTAAAGAATAAAAGGAAGACACTGTGTGTGTCTCTTTGAAGATGTGCTCTGGGTATTACAGTAGCTGCAGTTTTTTGGAAACAGGGGCACAATCAGAATTGCAGAACGGTGAGTTTACCGTTTTATTTGATTTTTTTGAGCTCTCAGACTCGATTATGCTTTTATGCTGTTTTTACATTTACATTCGCAACATTTACAGAAGCGCTTTGCAGTCAGAAAAGTCAAAGTCAACAAACAAGTCATGGGATTTGTTTTTAATGAAATAAATGTATGGAGCTTTGGAAGCTGACAGAAGTATTTGAATGTGTTTGAAATTGTTTAAATACGCCAAAGAAAAACAAATTAATTTGTGTAACGCATGTATAATTCAAATAGTATCTGCAATGAATGATCAGCATATTGTTTTAGACTAGGTTATCATACTGTGAAACGTAACACCCCTAAGTGATATTGTGTCTTATTTTTATAGGTAAGTATGATTTATTTTTAAATGAGATCATAACAGTGTTTTCCCCCATTTCCTCCCTAATTTGGTCATCTGCCACTTCCCACTCATCAGCTATCTCTCCCCTATCAACCGGGGAGGGTGAGGGCTAACAAGTGCTTCCTCTGAGACGAGTGAAGCCAGCCAGCTGCCTTTTTTTCATACTGCTGCTCATGCAGGGCAGAGTAACACAGACAGAGCTGACTTGACTTAATGTTTCTTTGCAGATAATGACCAGTGAGGAGGGGGAAGATGACGATGGCGAAGATGATGACAATGATGAGGACGAAGATTTGTATCGGAGGTTTGCTGCCAAGGGCAACCCGGGGAGACGAACCAGTAGATCAGTAGCATCTGTTCATGGTTGAGCTTAGTATCTACCATAGCAGCCGTTTTGTCATGGCAGGTGATTTTTGTTCTTTTTGAGGATGAAAACACAGCTATGAATTTGAGAGGGGACGTTACATGGCATTATTTGTCATGTCACAACAATACCTGGTGATGTAAAATTAAGCTACATTGTTTTCATATATCTGATTAGATATTCTGAAGCATTGTGGCATTAAAAAAACAAAACCAAAAAAAAAAAAAACACAGATGGGCTTGTATATTCTCCACTGATGAAGCAATGGATTTGACTCCAAAGTTGATTTCACATCCAATCCGGGGCGAATTCTCCCACCTTGCACCGTGAGATTGGCCCTGGATCCACTACAACTCTGACCAGGATGAAGCGGATACTGAAGTGAATGAATGACTGAATACATTCATTAATCTTCCAAAAAGAATCTCCAATACATGATAACCCAATCTACTGTAAACTTTGTCTAAGAGTCTAAGAGCAAAATCTATAACATGTAATGTCCTTAGCATGAATTCATGAAAAAAAAAATAAAATCAGGAAAACAGACAAGCCTGTGTTGGCCAATTTGCTTGAATGGCATTGTGCATAAAATTATTATTTTAATAATAATTTTTGCTTTTTTTTAGTTATTAGTGCTTATATGTGTTTAGTTATTAGTGCTTATATGTTTTTAGTTATTGGTGCTTATATGTTTTTAGTCATTAGCGCTTATATTGTTACTTACTGATCAAAAATAAGCCAGTAATTGTAGACAAGGTGCCTT